ATATATATATATATATATATATATATATATATATATATATATATATATATATATATATATATATGGCAGAATTGTTGGTATTTTTGGCATCTTTGTCTGCATCCCGGTTGGTTTTGTCTCTTTGTTCGGTCCACGTGGGGGTGTTTTTATGTGGGTTGTTCAGTCCACGTGGTGGTGTTTTCATGTGGGACTTGTCATCAAGGTTGTTTTCCTTTTGGCATCCTAGTTGGTTGGTTCCCGTTGTTCGGGAGGGGGTGCTTTTAGGTGGGGATCGTCATCTGGGATTGTCTTTATAATTTTTTTTGCGGTTGGTGGCGTCCCAGTATCTCAGTTTGGACTAGTGAAGCATGCGTCGAAATAAGAATACCAACTTCTTGATGACGAATAAGGCCATCTGCTGTGTATAGATATGTATCTTGCAGACAAGCATGTTTTGTCCTGGGTGGTCTTGTCCCGTCGTTTGGCCCGTGAAGGAGGGGCGGTGCTTGCATCTGGGACTTGTCATCTATGATCCGTTTTTTTGTGCTGGTGCTTGTTGCCCCCTGTTTTGTTGTATTTGGCTGTTCCCTTCCTCTTTTCTTTGCCTCTTTGCCCTTTCGCTGTGTGCAAGTGGGTCGATATGACACACGGGGGTGGGGGCAGCCCCCGCTCAACCTACATCCACGGGCACGGGGGTGGCCTTGTACGCAAGAGGACGTTCTGTACAGGGGGAGTTGTAAGGAAGAAGATACAAAAATGAATTGATATCTTTTTTGTTTCCTTTTTTTTTTTTTTTTTCGCTCTTAGGCTCTAATATTCATGTGACGATATATAATGGAAGGCATGATCTCGTTTCACTCACGCAAGTCGCCTTGAATATGGTAGATGTGGCAGCACTGCTGTGTTGTTGTGGCTGAGCGGTGACGTCATCCAGTTGGCGAGGGGAGTCATAACCCTGATTTTGGAATGAGCACTACAGAATCATAGTGGCTTTCGGTACATAGACTTGGAGTTTAGGGTGGTCGTGTGATAAACTTCCTCACCAGTTTCGTTTTGCTATCTGTACTTCGATCAATTGATGGTCATAGACGATAGGCTGGATAGGGATGAATGGGCTGGGTAGGGGGAAAAAAAAATGTTTTTTTCCGGTGGGTGTCTAACCATTCATTTGTCTGTCATGGATGTCTATTGTATATTAAGGCGATGTACATGCCGATGGTGGCTCTCGTAAAGCAGTGAGAAAGAGGTTTTCTTTGTTGTGAAAAAAAAAAAAAAAAAAAAAAAAACAACTGAAAATTACATGGGAGAGCGGGTTGAAAAGGGCCTTTACGAATCAGACTGCAAAAATGAATACCCAACAGCGAGGGGCCTTGTCGGCCCGAACTTAAATTCACGAGCAGCAACCCAAAAGACAAGTTCCCTTAGGCATATGTCGCATCCAGAATGAATGAGATGAAAAGTCGTTTTGAACAGTCACAAACAGGTCCATCAAAAGTCATGTCTGTTCGTCAACGAGTCAAAGGCCACAGTCCGAGTCCAGTCATAATCCCACGAGTCAGTCCTGATTCAGACCAGGAGTACAAAAGACAGGCCCGATGGCCCAAAGCAGCAGCAGACCATGGGAAAAGATACTGGGACCCACACTTTGCAACAAAAGGTACTGGGCAGGAGTCCCAGGGACACTTGAGGCTGAACGCAGGCCACGCCAGACCAGTCCAGCACTATAAAGGACTGGCCAGCCTCCCATGTGGACAGATGCTCACTTCACATGAGAGTCTGGAAGTGCCGTGACACTTGTGCGCTAGATGTGTGTGGGCTGCGCTAGGCTGTGAGCAGTGCTACATGAGAGGGAGAGAAGAAGGGCGCTGGCTGGAAGGAAAGCAGCCATAGCTGCGCCAGTGCTAGATAGCATGTTAGTAGGGATAGTTAGTAGAAGACACCAAAGAGTAGTATTCAAAGTTGATCCTCGTGTGATAGGGAGTGTACATGCACGATGAGTGGGAGTAGACCAGGACAGTAGACATAGAGAGAGAGAGAGAAGAAAGCTGACGAGAGGGGAAGGTGTGAGCTATGGTGACACTTACCTGTTGAGCGCTGTTGTTGACGTAAGGCAGCTGGCGCTGATGAGAGGCAGGCCTGGAACTCATGTTGATTGAAGAAGACTTGAGTTGAGTTTCCTGGTTCTCTGTGCGGCGCTGAATATTTTGGACTCACGATGTTCCCTCTTTAATCTGGTGTTTGATAATTGAGTTGAGTTTCCTGGTTCTCATTCATTTTCTATTGGGCTCTGTGTGAGATATCGCAATCTTTGAAATCTGTGTAGATGCATGTGATTGGATGCACTCAAGCAAGTAATGAACCGTTGGGTTCCTTGCAGGTTCGATCATCTGCAAACCTGAGCATTTGGGCACTGGGAACTGTTGAATAACTTTAAGCAAATACTTACTTTCAAAAAAAAAAAAAAAAAAAAGATTTTTCCCCCAAACACAGAGCAGGGGTACGCTGGGTGACCGTTGGGTGAAAAGCCAATAAGAAACAAAGAAGTAGGTATGTGCATTGATTTGCACACAAATCTTCTCATGTACACCAGGGAAATCTTCCTGCCAATCCTTTCTCGACGTTCGTTGCATAGGACGTGGTGGCCACACCACTCTGGAAATGTGAAAAAGACAAAAATGTGGCGGGTTCATCTGGTCATGTTCTAGAGGGAGGTTCATTCGTGGGGATGCGCATATTCTCATATTCCGCACGAGTTGTCCACTCCTTGAGACTAAAAGTGGCACTGCATAAACAGTGAAATCACGGAAACACGAGACCGAAATGTATATGGTCACAAAAGGATAATACAGACACATAGCGAGTGCATGTCCTTGCATTGCACTGCCTACGCTGCATATGATGGATGAAGGTTTGAATTCCTGCCACTGTCACTTTGTTGATGAGGGCTTTTGCACTGGCATTGTCCTGTCATTTAGCAGGCAAACTCTTCCGACGACCTTTCCATGGATATCCGAAAATCACCTCTTTTCCAACACTTTTCCGGTGGGGACCAGGCCTTATGTTAAGGTGTTGCAGCGTCTTTGGTGGCCAAGTACGGCCAAGTATGAAGAGGGATAAGTTAAACCAAATGTATCTCGGGAGTTGCCAGGTTTTTCAAGGAGACAAACCATGCATATAACCAGATGTAGGCTAAAAGCACCACTACTTCCAAAAGTCGTGCCCGTTCAAAAGCCACCGCAATTGTAAGGAATGTACGGGCCACTCCAGAAGCGTCCAAATTCATCCGTCTCGAAAAGTTTCTACTCTATTTGTTTTCGCCACCTATAGCTGGGGCAAGTTACTGGTCG